GGGGGGGGGGGGGGGGGGGGGGGGGGGTGTTCGATGCGGCAAGGTGCACAAAGCACCTGTTTCTCTCTCTCTCTCTCTCGTGCGCGCGGTTGTAATGTACAAAAATGGGAAAGAATCTTCCCGTGTTTGCGGGAAGATTCGCCCGTTTTGAGAATTAGGACTGCGCCGGCGGGGGGGGGGATGAAGTCACACAAACTCAAAGAGAGAGAGAGAGAGAGAGAGAGAGAGAGAGAGAGAGAGAAGGGGGGGGACGACGCGTTCGACGCGCCAAGGTGTGACGCGGAAAGGAATCATATTTCCCACACGGAGGCATGGTGGGTCATGAAATATGCATATCTAGAAGAGAAAGAACCTCGAGTTTGGATTCTCATTGAAACCTCTTCCCAAAATTTAAAGTTGACCCAAAAAAAATAAACTGCGATTTGCAAGATTGTCAACGAGTGTTGCTGGCAGAGAAAACCCCTTTGTCTGTTCAACGTCTCATATATCCCTCCCCCTCCTTTTCTACGAATGCTCCCTCCTACTCCCTTGCAACCCTCTTTCCTAAGACTTATTTCCCCGCCATCGTACGCCCTTTCCATTGATGTATCTAAGTATGCATCATGACGAGGAGTTGCGTTTCTTTTAAGGCAACTCTGAAATAATAATATATAAGGAAACAAATGACAATATCATAAACGTCACACACAAAATAGGGTTTTTTCATCATGAGGGACAATAGGAGGAGAAAGAGTCCACAGAGCGTCGGTGATTGAGTCGAAAGGTAAGTTTGAATTTGCACAGTAGGACGGAGCTCAATTGGGTAATTAATAAGGGACTCCATGTATGTATAGAAAGTTTGGGTAGGAAGGTGAGTTTAATTATAATGTTATTATCAAGGGGACACTCGATAATAATTTCTAGTGGGTGTAAATCCCCACTAATAAAAAAAAGTCTCCATTAACTTTGACCTTAATGTAAGGGTGTACTCTTATTCATTTCTACATCAGGTTTTCAAACGATGTTTGGACCCATCGAACTATGAACTTCAATCAAAAGAGTTTTCTTACCACTCTCCATATAGTTATCTATGAGGATGTTTAAAAAATATTTATAAATTAATTGTGGAATTCAACATATTTATAAGTTT